TTAGTTTGTTATTGAAATTTTCTTTTGATTTATGCCAATGATGGAAAATTCAAAATTCATGCTAGTTTTTGAAATATGTATTCAATGTATATTGATAACTGATTCAGAATATTCTTCTAAAGTATATGATTTACTAACATAATATTTATAGTAAATTATCTTATTTTTTATTGTCAATTGAATAGCATATATTATACTTAGAGTGATATTATATGAAAATAAACTCAATATTGGCACGATTTTGTTTCCCCCCCCCCCCTTATAAATACATCCACCTCTATATACCCTTCAATTCATCAAAGGTTCACAAACATTTTTTTAGTTAAAAACACTAAATATTTTAATTTTACAAGAAAAAAAAAATGGAGACAAAAATGCTTAAGTTGGCCTTCTTCTCTTCGCTTCTGATCACTGCAACGCGTAAGTTCTTTTGTTTTGATACAATTGCATTCGCATGATACAAATGTTATGTTTGTAAATTGTTTTTTAATGATCTAAATTAATCTTACTTCCTTCTAATATTACGTTTCCTCTTGTTATCATTAAAAAGTTCTAATGGGCATAAAACACAAACGAATTGCATGATGGTTGCAGATTTTTACATGGTGGCCGAGGCTAGAGGACCAATAGTGAACCGAAGGTGCATCACAGTGGACCACTGCCAATTATGGTGCGACGGTTGCAGCAAATGTGAATGCCTTCAGAACCTTTGCACTTGTACCGCCAAGCCCCCACCAGCCACCGTCTTTGTCACGGGAAACACCGCATCTCAGCCTTCGCCTCTAATTTTGATTTAGAATAGTTTTTTAAAAGGAACTTATATGTTTTCTTATTATATATATAAACAAGGTTTTGAAATATGTTTACATGATGTGATCTTTGGATTCAAATATTTACAAAGTAATAAATCTAAACTCGATACCGTTTCTATGAGATGAGCCTAGCTTTTCTAGATTGTTTTATCGGAGCATATCTCCCGGATATATTTGTATCCCGCTAAGCGCAGGCGATATAGTGAAACCGTTGCCGTCAATGCGGTATGACGGATGAGCAAGCGGGACTGGTCGGTCGGGAATTGGAGGAACCTCGATGTCTCCTTCAAGCATTTTCAATGCGTCTAATATTGTTGGCCTTAAAGCAACCAATACATGAGCACACAAAATCCCAACTTGCAAGAATCTCTCCATTATCCCTTTCGGATTCGAGATCCCCGAGCCTTCGTCTGTCAACAAAAACGGTGCAAGAGCTTCCTCTGTTTTCCCGGCTTTCACTAAAGACCAAGCCCAATCTGTTATCAGAAACGTGTTTGGTGATCCGGAAGTAGACAGATCGAGAGCTTTCCTTCCGCACATTATCTCCAATATAACCACACCGAAACTATAAACATCGCTCTTTTCAGTTAACTGACCGTAGAGTGCGTACTCAGGAGCCAGATAACCGTGTGTTCCCGCCACTCTGGTAGTGAGATGAGACTCTCCTTCTCTACTCTGTTTAGCTAAACCGAAATCCGCAACCCTTGCTCTCATATCAACATCTAACAATATGTTTGTACCTTTGATATCACGGTGGTAAATCGCGGGTTTCACGCCATAATGCAAATAAGCCAACCCTTTGGCTACATCCAAAATGATGCTCTTTCTTTGAGGCCAGCTAAAGGGCATGTTCGGAGTCTCAGCCCGAGGAAACAAGTGATCGTCAAGGTTCCCATTCGACATGTAATCATAAACAAGATATCTCTGACTCTCATTATCTTCATCCACCATACTACAACCCCTAAGCGGAACAAGATTCCTATGTTTCAAATTGCTAATGATCTCAACCTCGTTACGAAACTCTGCATCCCCTTGAAACTCAGATTCTATCACCTTCTTAACCGCGATAACCGATCCATCCGGTAAAACCCCTTTGTAAACGAACCCAAACCCGCCTCGACCGATGAAATTCTTCTGAGAGAAATTGTTGGTAGCCTTCTCGAGCTCCTCGATTTTGAACCAGATTGAGCCAGTGTTAGGTCTCCATTTCGGTCTAGACTCTTGATCCTCCCAACCAACTTCTCCCCCTTTAACAGCTTTACCAAACCGCAAATACAAACCAACAAAACCGGCAATCACCAGAGCCCCAACAATAGCTCCGGTAATGCCTAGAACAAGAGCCACCGCGTGCCTCTTCTTCTTTGAGCCCAATTGTGATCTCAAGCTCAAGGAGAAGAGACAAGACAAAGCATCATCACTCTCAGGTCCTTTCTTGTTTACAATACCAGCAGCATAAAGAACAGCGAAATGGTAACAATAAACACCGTGAGAGCTATTACCGTCCAAACTGATCAGCTGTTTCTGAACCCTAAACCCAGCCGCAACGCAAGCGTCACACCGCGTGAGATCAGTGAGGCCACTGCTACAAGCGGAGTCAAGCGCCGTCGTGGGACCGAGACGAGAGACCCAATCTTTGGTTGTTTGGATTCCGGCACAGGTTTCGTTGTTGATGACGAATTGATTCGGATCGAAGCAGATGGAAGTGAGATTCGAGGGGAGAGAGAGTGAATCGAGCTTCTTCTGGAGATCGTTAAGGCAAGAGACGGAGGTTGAGAGATCTGGGAGACGGAAATTGGTTGTTTGCTTGAGACGATGAGCTAAAGGGATTCCGATTAGAGTCAAGACCGATTGGCAACAACTGTTTTTCCTCTCGATTGATTTGTCGTAGCTTCGACAATCTGTAGTGTTCCATGGGATTGTCGAGACATGACTGAAATCTAAAGGACAAGTCGGCGACGGAGATTGAGCGTAGGTTGAGAGATT